TTTACATTTAACGCCGGTGAAACCATTATGCATCCGTCGGAGGCTAAATTGAACAGTATTTTAATTTTCGACGATGTAGCGTGCGACAACCAAGATATCATACGCGAATGGGACGACATAATAAAATTGACTCGTTTTATTTATGTCAAACGTATGCTAAAATACCTAAACATCTTATAAGAGACAATGCTAATGTCTTGTAATTTTCAAACAAGACGATTTAAATTTGAAACACATATCGGTACAGATATGACTTTTGAACGTTTTAAGGAGATGTGTGCTTTATGCTGGAACGAACCGTTTAGTTTCCTAACTATATTTAAAGACTGCGATATTAGGAGGTTGATATAGGAAAACATTAGATTGCTTCATACATTTCTAATCGTCCTATCGCGGCGGCGGCGGCGGCGGAAAGGATCAGATATTTACGTTCAAGGTAAACGGTACAGAGGTACTCAAGGTTTATACGAATTGTTTTTTAAAAAGTATCCTAATAGTAGTTTATTTAACGAACAAGACAGGGAAAATTATAAACAAATTGTATACAAAACGAACGCTCACAATAATAATAATAAGTTGTTTTTCTAAATTTGTTTGGGCGCTACCTGTAAAAAATAAGTCGGGATCGGAAGTGACGAGAGCTATGGAAACAATTTTAAAGTCGTCATCTCCACTACCACCAAAAAATTTACAAACTGACGCTGGAGCTGAATTTTTCAACAAAGACTTTCAAAATTTAATGAAAAAATATATCAATCATTATAATGTATTTAGCGAGAAAAAGGCCTCTGGAAAGAGTGGAAAGAGTGAACCGTACCATAAAAAATATAGGAAATAGTTTAGTCTACGAGGAAACTATAAATGGATCGACATAGCGGAAATTGTTAGAAACTACAATAATAAACGTAATAACAACGTAATTAAAATGAAGCCGGCCGATGTTACAAAGAAGCACGAAAAAAAGCTATTGGAAGCGGTGTTTAATCGAATAATAATGACAAATCTTAATACCAAATTTAAGATTGGCGATCGCGTACGGATATCGAAGAGGCGAGGTGTTTTCGATTAAAAATTACAACCAAATTGGTCAACGGAAATTTTTACGGTAGATAAAGTTCAAGTAACCAATCCCACTACGTATTTATTAAAAGATGGAAAATTTACAATGAACAACTGCAAAAAGTATAGTTTCCACACGTTTAAAACTAACCAAAACTCGATAGGGGGTTTGTAAAATCGTTGGGGTTTGATGACAAACACAATAGTTGGGATAGATATAAATAATGTTGCGTAGGTGTGAGGAAGATTCAGTTGCAAATTAGTGGTGCTCATAAAACATCCAAAAAATGTGTATCCTCGACGTTCAACCATTTCAGTATAAACAGAGCGGTTATAGAGAAATCGCAATAATAAACGTGTCCAGCGGAGAAGTGTTTCATAGATTGGTGAATACACCTTGTCCTATAACTGGTTCACAGGTGAAATTAGAAATCATCTTTTGAAGACCACGAATCGTGTCCACGGTCTATGCTGGGATCTGAATCCCAATAAAAAAGATGAGACCTGTCTAGCTCAAGAATGTATAGTTAGTTTTATTGGAAACGTTGTACAAAATAACTATATTTATGTTAAAGGCAGTTGTAATGTAAACTGGTTAAAATCACTGCTTTATTACAATGATATTGTCGATTTACATGACATTGGATGTCTAAATTTGAAAAGTTTAAAAGAAAATAATCAGTATAATTTTCATTGTAATAATCAGTTTTATAATTCCTCTTATTCTGCCAAAGAGAATGTACTATTGCTGAGAAATTGTTATATTAATAAAAATTATCTTAAAAAATGAACTTGTTTTATTAACTTTAACCATAAGAAAAATTAAAATTATTTTTATCATGGTAAAATTAAACAAGTTATAACTCGAATAATTTTTTATTATTTTATTTAGTTACTACACTAAATTTTTGACTTTCAAAATCGTCAGCGTCGTCGTCTAAAATGAAACAAAAATCTTCTACTTTGCTGGTACAGGGAGTGGTGGTGGTGGTGGCTGATTTTAATATTCTGTTTTCTAAAATTTTTATTTTTTCTTCTTCCGAAGCAGGCTTGAATTTTTTTGTCGGAACGGGTTCGTCCTCTTCTATGGCAGCCGCATAAAAGTTGACGTCTGAGAATTCACGCATCCGCTTCAGTAATAATTGTAATTCTTCCTTGTCATCGGCTGCCACTCTCAGGTATCGGACGGGAAGATTTTTTAATTTTCCCTGTATCGTCTCATTTTTGGGTGAATATTTTAAGTACAAGTGAACTCGCTTATTAACAATCTTCACCTCTTTCCTACCATACCTATGACAATTTGATAGATTTTTAGTAAATTAAGAAAAACAAGACAAGACCTGAATAATTTTTTTAAAAATACCACCAGCATCTTGTTGGAAAGTCTGGCGGGATCGGTTGACTCAAAAATCAATGTTGATGGAGTGTCCATCTTCGTTGTGTACAATGATTCATTGTCGTAGAGTTGATATATTCATATGCATTTATTTATTAAATTATTATCTATCCTAAAATTTCCACTTCATCAGCACGAAAATAACATGGTACACAGTGTAAACATAATATTAACAGTGATCACATTATATTTATCAATTGCGCAAAACTTAATAGTTTTGACCCTAACCCCGCTATCTGATAAAAACGGTAAAATTCTACAATGTGATATTATTTATCACATACGCGTCTATTAGAATATACAAAAAAGTCTGCTGCGTATACGAGGTGTGTTCAAAAAGTATCGCGAATTTGTCCCCTTCAAAGTATTCCCCATGAGATATTTTACACTTGTGCCAACTGTTTTTCCAATCTTCGAAGCACTTCAAAAAATCATTTTTTTATCTTCTTCAGCTCCTCCTTCGATGTCGTCTTTATCTCGTCAAGAGAAGCGTAACGTCGTCCTTTCATAGGCCTCTTCAGTTTAGGGGACAAGAAAAAGTCACAGGGGGACAGATCTGGGTAATACGGTGGCTGCGGCATCATTAGTGTGTTTTTTTGGCCAAAAAGTCGCGCACAAGCAACGATGTGTGAGCAGGGGCGTTATCGTGGTGCAAAAGCCAATTTTTGTTCTTCCACAAATCCGGGCGTTTCTGGCGGATTGCTTCGCGCAAATTGCACATAACTTGCAGGTAATATTCCTTATTGACCGTTCTTCCTTGTGGCAAGAACTCATGATGCACCACGTCCCTGCAATCGAAGAAAACTGTCAGCAAAACTTTCACATTCGACCGAACTTGGCGCGCCTTTTCGGGGCTTGGTTCGTGCTGCAGCTTCCATTGAGATGATTGAGCTTTGGTTTCCACGTCATAACCATAAACCCACGATTCGTCACCAGTTATGACCCTCTGGAGCAAATTTGGGTCGTCGCGGACAGAGTTTAATATCTCATTAGCAATGTTCATGCGATGCTGTTTTTGTGCGGCGCGGTCACGCGGTGGATCGGGAGGATAATTAAATAAACTTGAATTTTAATATATTTTATTTATAAAATTGGTCTGGCGAGGAGTTTCTTCTTCTTTTTGTGTCGATTCCGTCGACCATCCCATTGTTCATGTTCCTTCAGTTGTTCTTCTTCCAGTTCCCGGAGGAAATCTAAATACGAAGTGCACTCCTCGCCGTCCCACTTCGTCGACCACCCACCCGGGTACTCCTGCTGCTCCTTTGTTTCTTTTGATCCACCGGGTTGCTCCTGCTGCTGGTGATGTTCCGTTGTCGTTGTATGTCGTACCGGGAATTCTAACCCCCGGTACTCTTTGTGTGATTTGAATATGTGACGCCCTAAGCGATGCGCCAACATAATATGCGACTTGTCATACGGACAAACTGCGATTTTTTCTAGAACAAAACAAAATATGATATGTAGCGTTTCCTATAAAACACACATTTTTTAAACAAAACTTCCAAAAAGAGGGGTTATCAAATAATTTTAAAAATTGTTTTTTAAGTTATACGCGCATACCAAAATTCACGTTTCAATTCACTGTCATTTAAATGATATTAAAAAAGTGTATTATTGTCAAAAGGGCAAACTGCAATTTTTTAGTACAAAAAATAAAACAAAAATATGTATATATTTCGCGTTTTCCCCATAAAACGCACATTTTTGAAACAAAACTTTCAGTAAGTGGGGTCATCAAATAAATTTAAAAATTGTTTATTTTTTAAAAGATATTAAAAACACTCAATTTAATTCGGTTATTATGCAACGTAAAAAAGATGAGTATCATATTTTAAAAACAGGTAGAAACTAACCAAAAAAGTGATAACCCAAACCGAAACCCACAAAAAAAGACACGCACTGTATAAAGGTAATTAAAATATATAACTTACCAGTTGTAGGGTCGTAGGGAAATGGACATCGCACTTCGGTATTCATTGCACTGAATATAGTCTATAATACACATGCAACGTATTTATACACATGCACTCCCTTCCATGGTTGAATTAAAAGTCGAAAGTCTTCTACCCACAAGCACCAACGCCGATTTGGATAGACGCGATGTTGTCGCCAGACAACCGTGCAGGTAGGAGTCTCAGGGTCAACATGCTTTCACACGGGAACGACTTGAGACGCAACCGCTTCGGACGTTGGACGAATGTATGTTGCCGCAAAAGATCAAGGCCAACTTGCTTTCATTTTTTACAATCTCCGTATGGGATGTGGAATTTGAAAACGCGCCGAGTCTAAATGTCAAGTTGTTTTGCTTGTTGAGAATAATAATTAATTGCCCGTTTATATTTGCTCCGTGGGATTAACGTAATGGGAAAAATTTGTTGCAACGCATGTGGAGGTGTCTTTGTTTGTTATATTTTAGAAAGTATTCTCGCACCGTATAAATACATCTCATTTTTCTCTGTTTTGTCAGTAGTTGTTTTTGGTATTATTCGTGCAACGTGGAAGCTAACTTTGTGGTTTGGTGTTCGTACAAAAAAGCAGTAAGGACCTTTTTTATTGTTTTATTTTAATTCTTTAACATTTGTTATTATTTTATAAAGGTCTTAAAGATCATCTTAGTACTCTCAACCCGTAACCGCAAATAGAATAGCAGCAATCTTAAGCGTAAGTTTTTTTTTTATTTTTTTTTAATTTTGAGATAAAATAATAATTTATAGATGGACTTAAGTCAACTGAATCAAACCTGTCTTGCAGAAGGTGATTTTGAGCAGCCGATTGTCAAACTGCATGAATTGCCGATAGGCGTTCCGTTTAAAATTACTAGAGCCAAAATTGTTAATACAAAATTTGGCAATTCCGTGTTGCTGCAATTAGAAAATTCCGTAGTATTTCTTCCTACTCGCGTGACAGAAGCTTTCCGTCCGAGACTAGAACACTTTGCGTCGGGGCAGTACAAACTGGTCTACGAGGGATCCAAAGATATTGGAAAGCCCAACTCTTTAAAGAAATTCAAAATAATTCAAAATTAATCAACATATTATACAGGGTAAGTCTTATTTACTGTTATATATTTAATAAACCACGATGCGCATAAAGCAGATCATTCATAGAGCGCAAATCTTAATTTTAACCTTACAAAAATTAAAAAAGCATATTTCCGACAAGTTCACTCTTAGAGATAGTGATGTGTGGCTTAGGAGACTAAATAAAAATATTGAATCTTGCAACCAAATCGTTTCTAACGAAAAGGATTTATCTATTGGGTTGGAAAATTACAAACTACAATTCAACATCTGAAAGCTATTAGAAAAATTATTCTTAATTATCAACATAAGCATTTTGGATTGGGATTACAAAGTAGTAGCCGCGAGACAAACACAAATGAAATGGTTGTATGGGAATCGGTAGCGTCGTGTTTCCAGGGAAGAGTTCAGACCGGTGTCATAATTAATTTACTTCATAAAGATTTAATTCAATTTTTAAACGATTGTCGTCCAATTTTTCAACAAAAAATTAGTCAAATTTTAAAGAAATTTTTATTGCTGAAAGTAAATACCACATTTTGCGGTGAATTTATTAAGGCAAAACATGATGTCCAAGGCGAAGTTGATGTTAAATATCTGAGTACCGGAAATGCTGTAGTTGATTTAGGAACAGAATTGAATGATTGGTTTGTTGAAAATGTGCAAGATAAAATTATAAATCAAATGTCAGAGTTTCAGGAACGTGATTCCGGGTGGACTTTAAATAATATTATTTATTTAGAGATTAACATTAATAAATTTGAAATGGGTAACGGATCATCCTTCGTTGAGTTGCCTAAAGAAATTGCGAATAAAAGGGCTTGTATTAACATTAGAAATGACGATCAAGCGTGTTTTTATTGGTCAGTTGTATGCGGACTCTTTCCAGCACGTTTTCGTCAGTATTTACCCTCTTCATATCCATACTATAAAAGTGTTTTGAAAACTGAAAATTTACAAACACCTATGGAAATGAATAAAATAAGCAAATTTGAAAAAGACAATGATATTTCCATCAATGTTTATATCTTAGAGTTTAATAAAAATGAAAAAACTAGTTTTTATTCCGTGCTACCTGCACGATTAACAAAAGAAAAAGGCGAAAAACATTCAAATTTGTTGTTAATACAAAATAAATATTATCCAAAAGTTAATGATTTTGATCCTGATCCGCAAGATAATGATCATGAAGAAATAAAATATCACTATTGTTACATTAAAAATTTGTCTCGATTAGTTTCCTCACAGCTCAGTAAATATAATCACAAGAAATACATTTGCGATAGGTGTTTGAATTATTTCAATAACGAAACTGGTCTACATGACCACGAAACAATGTGTTCCAGTTTCAATGAGTATAAAGTGTCTTTTCCCAAATATGATTATGTTGAATTTCGAAACCATATATATAAACAAAGGACTCCGTTTGTAATTTACGCCGATTTTGAGAGTCAATTGAGAAAAGTAAATTTGAAAATTTCAGATAAAACCTCGAAATACCAAAGCACGAAGCTTACAGTGCTGCATATTACTTTAAATGTTCTTATGATGATTCAATATCATTTTTCAAAAGTTATCTTGGTCTAGATTGTATTGATTGGTTCGTGGAGGAAATATCTAATTTATCAAAATTTGTTCGTTCAAAATTTAAGGATTTATACCAATGGATAGTGAAATTACTCTAGATCAAAGGTCGAGCCATTGTCATATTTGTAGTGCCCGTAGTATTCCAGAACCTTTCTGGATACGATAGCCACTTCCTGCTTCCGGTTTTAGCAAAAAAAAAGCTGTATATCCATAGTTCCGGTTAATAAGGAAAAATACATCTCTTTTACATATTTTGCCACGTCTCTCTTCCACTGAAGGTGGAGGGGAGACCGAAGCAATCCTACTATACTTTGCTCACTTTGCTACCGATTGGAAGCAGTAAGTATAGGGCCCAAGCAGCTCAGTTTCTCAAAATATGGGCGGGGTATAAAAAAAGAAAGTAAATAAATCAAAGGTTGGAAACCGGGGCGCCAGCTAGGACAAAACCCCAACCTATACTATAAGTTAGTGATAGTGACTATTGTCCTTACTCACTAGCCACCGAACAAACTCACAAAGTTAACAAAGTTCGAACCCAAATAACCAAAAACTAAATAAATAATTAATAAATAAACCGGCACGTCAGTTTAAATCTCCATATATTGGCTCAAGTACAAACTAAGCACAGGAAGCTTGGTTACGATCGATCGTTTACAAATAACCATTACAAACAAAATGTTTTTATAATTGTGTACTTTATCTTTACCCTAATTGCGCTCTTTAATTTATTAAAAATTGAAATTTTTATTTAATAGGAATAAAATTAACCGAAACGTAAATAGAGTCTTATCTGTGATCCTCCAGTTACCAGCAACGAACGAGTCGGGCAAGCTCTAAGATGGGTGTCCTGTATACTGCCTACGGGTTCACCAGTCAGTGGGATAGGCACGAATGCTTATCACTCTTGGACGAGGAGATATGCACTGCAACGTCCTGAACCGAGCTAACTTGAAGACTTGAAGAATTCTTGGGTTGCAGAATTCATAACACGTGCCGTCCACGGTGTAAGGAGGCACCAAATCCAATTGAACCGGAACCGGGGAAGCCAGTACCAAATGGGAAGCCAAAACCAGTCCAACAATCAAAAACTGGTTCCAAAAGGAAAAGCAAATCCAAAACCAAAATCAAAACCAAAGAAAAACCCTACAAAACAAAATAATGAGTTGCGGAGTTCATAATTACTTGCAAAGTGTGAAATAAATTGTGAAACTTACGCCTGATGATCGTGGGTGGCGGTGAAGAGTGCCAGGTGCTAGGTTGGTTAGCTTTAATCCAGCCAAAGCTGTAATGTTGGGGACGTCCAAGCAAAATACTACCAGCAAGACGACGATCCGCAACTTCTATACGATTTCAATCCGGTTTAATCCTCGAAAACTACGAGATGCCACAAACTTATTCGGATTGAAATCTTGCAACCACTTGCACCGGCGGAAATCGTAGAGCCAAAGAAAGAAAGACCGATGAAGTTTCACAAAGTTCCAAAAAAAGAGACCGATGGTGCTGGCAATACGATGTTCGGTTCCGACACCACTAGGGTCAATGGGCCAATAATGACGGAAGTTAATTATTACACACACATGAATGAGATTACACAGTAACGTCTTAGGAAATTGAAGACGAACGTGGGCCAAAGGTCGAGTGCTTAACTGTACTAATGGCCGAGTGCATTCGCGTTGACAGAGGATTGAAATATAACCTCTCCCAAAAGCAACAAGTGTAAATAAATGAATGCAAGGGACAAGAATAGAAATTGGCGTTAGTTCGGAAATAAGAAGGGGAATACAGGACGATCGTCTCGTGCAATCCAACCGCATTCCGCAGTAACATCTTAAATTGCAGCAAAAATGCAAGGACTTACACTTATTTACATTTATTTTAGGACAGGCAAACCACACCAAGCAATTAAACAGTTACAGTGTGTTCGAACAGAATGAAGTAGCAATACCAGGATAAAGATAGTGTGTAATTGTGAGAATAAAACATTTAATAGGTAGTCTCCGAGCATTATTAACCTACATGTGAGAAACATAAGTCGAAGTAGCCAATGACAAATTGAACCCGTTACACTCCCCCTCTTCTTCGGAAGGAGGTTTAATTTCATAGAAAAGTAAACCGACGACAACCGTAAAGCCAACCAGGCCAAACTAAGACGCGCAATACTCGCAAAACTCAAAACTAGATGTGAACAATAGTAGATATATAGTGCCGATATAAGCAACAAAAACACGGTTTAATAAAAGAAAAACTATAGATACAATAGTAAATATTTATTAGCTCATATGTAGACAACGTAATGCTTCGTACAAGCGGTGTTTCTGGTCCATGAGATTTTCTACTTCATCGCGGTCGAGGATAATTTCGTCGCCATGATCCTGTTTCAGTATCAACTCACAGCTCTCTTCTTCGTTCGAATAGGTCACCTCGATACTGCTCCCGATGTAGACTGTTATGTCGTTCCAGAACATGATTTCTCCCACCTCGTCCTCCAGAAAGAACAAAAAATCCCAAAAATCCTGGACTTGAAAATCTATGTGCTTGTTCTTGAAGATGAAACGGACACCTGAATTCTTTATTTCGAAAATCGTGTTTTCTTCGATAGTGACCACTTTGTTACACATTGCGACAAACAGACTGACTTCGGTATCAAATTCAAATGTACTTATATATCAACAACCCCCCACTTAAGAGAGGTATTTACATTTAGTCAATTTGAATAAGCATTTTGCCAAAAGAAGCAAACAAGCGCACGTAGTTACATATAGCGGGATTAAAATAGTTTTTCGATCTGCCGAGATGTTGTATTCGTTACCGCAATTGTCGTTAACGCCGCCGCTGGTCTTATTGGAAATCTTGATAGCGATCGTTTGCCATTCGCCGTGGTCTTCGTAGCTCCGGTTCGCGAAAACGAAACGTACCTTGTAATTTAAATACGGCTTATCTGCGGTAGTGTTATTCGACAATGTCACGCTAAAAGTTTGTAGCTTGTCGATTCCGTTGACCTGAGCGAGTTGCATACGCGTCCACGTATCGGGCCAAATGCACCGATTATTATGATTTTTGAAACAAACGAACGCTTCAATCACATCCTTAGGTTTATGTATATAGAAAACGTTTTGTACCACAGCCGACAACAAAACAAAGTGAGCACTTAACAAAACCATGTTTCTAGCCCGAATGAATCTATCCTAGATCTCGGTAACTGCTTTTATAACACTCAAACAATAATGACATTTATTCTGGGGAGGTGCCGGGCCGTCGATATGCATTTTGCTGTCCGGTCTGTTATAGTGAACAAAGCAGGGCAAATGAGTTTGCAATTCAAAATTGTTGCGATGTCGTACTGGTAACTTATGCCACATATTTAACAAATCGTGCGGTCTCACATGCTCCAAAAAATGTTGCACAGGAATCAATTCAAGTTGTTCGGTATCCAAGCTTCTAAAATCGTCGAAGAAAACTATCTTCTTATTCATTGTTGTGAAAGATCGATAACTTTCTTAACAAATCCCTAATTTGTTTAAAGACACTCTCTGTGGGACAATTAATTCCGACAAGACTCAAGTCTATTTCACCGACTCCCGTTAATTTATTCAAAAATTCGTTGTATTCGTAATACGTTTTTTCTTTGAAAAAATACAAATGTCCGTTGGTGTATCGGAACGCGCCCGACAAATCGCCGGGCAGACCCGGAAACAGTTCCGTAGTAAAACCGTGTTCACTCGCACTCAAAGAACACTCGTCTATTTCTGCATAGTAGCGTTTACCGTAAAATATATACGTTCGACCGCCATACGTATTAAAAATGGCGTTCACTGTTTTACCCGCAGGCACACCCAGTCGAAGGACGCTTTGTCGGTCGCCCACTACCGTGAAACTCGGGAAGTGAAGTAAATAAAACGAATCACCGGTGACTACCAAAAGTTGTCCGTTGGGTCTTTGGTAGATATGCGAAATAGGAGCGTAAATAGGGACATAATCTGATATCATTTTAGGTTTCATGTAGACCTTATCACCTAATCTTATTATCCAAACCCATTTGTCGTAAAATAGATACATATGATGGTTAGACGTAACCAAACGTATGGATGGATTTACGTGACACAAATCTGGTACTTTTGTTTCGTTTTTCCCTATCGGAGGTTTCGTAGTTGTAGTAGTAGTGGTAGTGGTAGTTGTTGTTGTTGTTATTGTTGTAGTCGGAGTTGTTACGCGGGCGGTGGTTGTGGTTTTTTTACCATATAAACGTTGAAGACCTGCAATATCGTCGTATGACAATGTCTTAGAATATAAGCTATACCAAGGGTACATAATGGCATTGCGATCGTTACTGTGCGCCAAACCCAACGTATGTCCAATTTCGTGGAACAACACAGTAAATAAGCTCGTCTTTCCTCCGGGCGCAGGCACTTCTAAACCGTAGTACCAATCTTCGGATTTATCCAAATGAACTTCCACGCACTCTTGTTGTTGATTTGGAAAAAATGCATGTCCTAATATGTTACCCCTTCCGTCGAAAGCAAAAGGGCAGGATTCGTTCCCTTTACATCTAATGCTTTTTCTGTGGGTAGTATATTTGTCAGACATCAAAATCATTATATCCGGCTCTGAGTAATTTAAGAAAAAATTTAAATTTGATTCATCACTCCATATTTTAAAAACCTCGGTTGCCAGCACTTTTAACTCTTGATAGTGACTGGGCGGTACTTGAATATACCAATTTAAATCCGTTTTCTGCCATCGCGAAACAGTCGTGAAGGCATTTTCTATTACACCACATCGGGGTTTATTGATTAGTTCGACGGTTTCGTTATTAAGAGTACCATCCACCGGTAAATTATAGAAATCCTGAAAATCCATTAGGGCACGTTGCAAACTCGATGTATTGATCTGCGTTAAAGATTCGTTGTCGTTAGGTGAAAGGAATCCGAATTTTTGTAAATATTCAATCACACCTTCCTCGGGCAGCGCGGCGACTATCGTCGACACGTCCGAACAGGTAGTAAAGACAGCGTAGCATAGCAGCAGGACTTTCATCTCGTTCAAGGTCAGTAAAATACTAAAATGTATTCGGTCCCTAGCTAAT